GCCGTGGGTCGCCAGAGTGCCCCCCGCCGCTTCCGTCGGTGCTGATGATGGTGGTGGTGTCGTTGCTGTTGTCGGTGTTGTCGAAGTTGTCTATGTCGAAAGGCTGGTTGGCGGTGGTACATCCAGGTGGCGTCGTCCAAGCTCTCGGTACTCATCCTCTCAGCCAAAAGCACGGTACGTGTTGGCTGCCCTCGATTGCTCTCCTCTGTAGTATGGCCGTCTTCGCGTAGTCCTCGTGGTCTTCGTCTCGTGCTGTACAGCGGCCCCATGCTCTGTGGAGGTCTTCGCATACCATGCCGCATGTGCATCTGTTGTCCGCGTCGCTGAACATAAGGCACTTGCGTGCTGGTGTCAACATTGCTGCGCATGCCACTGCCTGTAGCATGCCTGCATCGTGGTGGTTGCCTTGATTGCGTAGCTTACGTAACTGCCTGCTCAAGTTATATGTGTCGATGCCGAACTCGGAGCCTTTGCCAAGCCAATGTGTGGATGCCTTGGCCCAGTTCTGGAGTTGGTGCGCTTCCATGATGGCGTGGGTGACGTCTGTATGGGTCTCCGTGGTGGTCTTCGTCGCCCATCTGCCACGTGCTTCCCTGGTCGTCGATCCATTCAGTCGGTGATATCGCATCCCATCCAATCTCCCACAGCGAAAATATTATCGCCCCCGTAAGGCCCCGACGTTGTCTCCATCGGTAGATGGGCGGCACGTTGTGGAGGCGCTGGTAGTTGACTGGCCGCGCCTGGTGGGCGCCGTCGTGCATGCTTTCGCGGCGGCTCCAGACGTCGAACCATGTGCCCAATACCCCGCGCAGGATGGCGTTGGTGGGGTCGGCGCCAGCTAATGCGAGGTATGCGTGGAGGCACCGACCAGCCCAGTGCTTCCCCAGCGCCCTAGCGCACCGTCGCCTTGCTGTGGTGAATGCTGCGGGTGCTTCTCCGTGAATCTTGCAGCCGTAAATGTAAAACGCCATGGGGCCCTGTGTGATGATGGCTCGCTTGCGCTGTGCTCGTAGCCGACGTAGCTTCAGTGCAATGTTGCGTAGCCGTCCAGCTGCAAGTCGTCGTCTTTTGCTGTGTGTCGGTCTGCTCGTGGGCGTGCGCCCTGCCCGATCCCGTCCAAGGTCGCGGCCTACTGACGCTGCCTTGATGCTGAGCCCCTACTATCGTACCTGCTTGCGTATCTCGTGCGTCATGGCCATGTCGTTGCTGATGATCACGCTCTTGTCTGCCATATCCAGACCTTGCTCGCTGAGGCATCGCGCGTAGGTAGTGGTGGCGAGGATGGCATTGTCCGTGACGTGCTGTTTGCTGCCGATTGTCCTGGGTTCCACGTCGTCGAACCAAGCTCGCGGCGCCACTGCTGGGATCTGGTAGTGCAGGCGGCGGAGTACCTGATATATGACTGCTCGCGCCAGGTTGTTCGCATGGCGTGACCCAGCGACCAAAAATCTGGATGGTAGTAATGGGTTGACGTGCGTGGAAGCTTGGCGTAGGACCGTGTGATCGCGTGGAACTGGAGCTCGAGCGCGAAGATGCGCGGTGGGAACCACAGGTGTCTGGTGGCGCACCAGCGTGTCATAGAAACGGCGGATGTCTGCGAGTGTTGAGGCGCGCGATAGCTGCAGCGCGCCGTAGATCTCGTCGCCAAAAATACGTGCTGTGACCTCGCGCGGGCAGCTGCTGCCTGCCGAGGCCGCGTCCCAGTGACGCCCTGCGCCTCGAGCCCACTGGTCCACTGTTGGTCTCGTGACCCAGCGCTCAATCGCCCTCGGCCTTTGGGTGGAACATGATGATGGTGCTCTGTAGTTGCCATGGCCATGCGAGCACTCGCTCGCAGCTGTTGAAAAGGTCGACCAGTTGCTGTCGCCCCGCCTGCGGGAGTCGTCGCAGGTCGGAGCTCGTAATTTTGCCGGCGCCCTTGCCCTTGTCGGGAGAGCAGCGAAGCGAGAAGTCCAGGTCCTCGAGGGTCCAGCGCGTTGCTGGGGCTGCGCTGGCGGCGTCCTTGACGTCGTTGGTGATGGGCGACGTAGTCTAGGTGGGTGAGCGTGGGATGAGACCACAGCTCCCGGAACTCTTCTGTCTTTGCGTCGGTTATGGTCTTGGGGCAGCGCGCCTTCCCTCGAACGTGGACGCACTCGTCTTCGTGGCGTGCTTGTGGCTTGGTTAGCTTGTGAAGCTCCCCAGGCGTGGCCTTAGTAGTGTCGGTGAGCCAGATCATGAAATTGCGAGACCGTGCTCATGACGGACATCAAGGCCTTCTTGACTTCGTGCTCGGCTTGTATCGTCATGCCATGTAGTATGTCGATGCTAAGGGTTTGCAGTCGTCGTAGTCGGTCGCCCCACAAATTGCGGTGTAGGGTGGCTGCGTGGTTGAGTCGTATCCCTCCAGTGGGGATTCCGTCGCATGCTAGCTGGCGGGCTGTAACTTCGAGTTGGCGTTGCCGTCTTGACCCGCGTTTCCTCTGGCGTAGGGTGGAGCAGGCCCGCAGAATAGTCGCTAGCTGACCCCACCAGTCGGACTGCTTGTTGTTGAAATGGGAGCGTCTGGTTCGTGGCGTGGCCTTCGCTGATATCAACTCGCGTGCGTCGCCTCTCCCTGTATACCGATGTCGGTCCTGAGGTTGGATGGCGTATGCAGCGCAATAGAAGTGCTCCAAGGTGCCCACGAATCTGCCGTACTCCTGGCCTAGGGCCCCGGCCGCCTTGGGGCCCGCGACGTAGGCGACCCCATGCTGGATGTAGGCTGGCGGCTTCTCGCATTCAGGCCGTGGACGTGTGGGCATCTGCGAGACTTGCCACAAGTCGCCCAGAGCGCGCGCGTCTACGTAGTTCGTGGGATGCGAACCAGGGAGGGAGGGCTCCTGAGACGGCGTCCTGTCCTCCTTCTCGGGTGCGCTCGACGGTTGGCTCTGCGCGTGGCCGGCCCCCTGGCCGAAGTAGTCGCAGGGCAGCTCCTCGGGTGGGTGGTCCATGCTGGCGTCCATGTCATCTGCGATGTCGATGTCATTCATCGGGTCGTAGTCGTGGTGGCCCGCGTTGCTTGCCCTTGACAGAATTGGCGGGCCCTGCGCGGATGTGCCGAGCTCAGCCCATCTCATGTTCATCTCGTTGGTGCTCCTAGTACTTGGTGTCGTAGTCGGGTGTGTTGGTGCTCTGCTGGCGTTGGCCTCCTAGGCCCTGTGCCTGTATCCGTCGTTTCTGCTGTTGTCTCTTGTTGTCGGGGTTGGGCGGTGGCAGTGGATGAGTGAAGTGGGCAGGTAGATGGAGCTGTCGAATGGTGACTGGCTTTGCCGCTCCCCTTATTCTCAGCGTCTGTCCAAAGTGGGTATTCCATGGGGCCGCGGTAGTCTCCAAGCCGATGAAGTACTTGCGTGCTTCGTGGCTGGCCAACGCGTAGTCGATGAGCGATGCTGAGGTGGTGCCCTTTTTGCTGCTGTGTGTGTAGCAGGTGTAGCCGTCTGGTATGGTGGCAATGTCAGCGCCCATAGCCTGCGGCCAACCTGAAGCCCCAAAGTCGCTCTGGTGGTGTGCCCCAACCCCCGACTGCGATCCACGGGTGCTGGCAGCTCGTCTCGAACGATGCCAGTGCGTTGAGCTTGGTTGCGTTGATCCCATGGAGGCTGCCCAGTGCGTCCAGGTGCACGCTGATCACCAGGAGGCTGAAGCCGCGGAGGTGCCAGCACATGGGGGTCCAGTCCAGGAAGTGGTGTTGGGGGCTGCCCGCTGGTAGGTTGAGGAGCCCCGCCGTAGTGTTAGATGCTGCGCCGTCTGCTGCCTGCTCGCGGTAGCACTCGCTCTGATGGTGCAGGAGGGTGCCGACGCAAGTGCCGCCGTTGGAGCCGTTGTCTCTCTTGGTGGATTGGCGAGCAGGCGAGAGCGATGCTTTGTAGCCCATGTTCGCCCCGTCCCGTCCTGCGCCCATCATCCCGTGCGCACGCAAGTGGGTATCCTGGATGGCGAAGGCGTCGAACCGCTTCTCGCGACGGGCGTCTGCGAGGAAGTCCTTCACCTTGGTGCCCCACTCCGTGCAGTTGCCGACAAAAAGTTGCGCTCCTCGTCGCCGCTAGGGTCGGCGTGGCGACAGCGAGGAGGAGAACGATGGCGTCATGCACCCCCCTGTCCCAAGTCCCCTCCCCATTCGCCCCCGCGCAATTTTTCAATGCGCGAAACGACCCGCTTGAAAGACGAACGCCGCATGGGCCTGGGAGCTGAGTTTGACGCGAACTACCATCCATCTGTCGCGCTATGAGGAATCCCACCAGCCCTCTGGGCGTCGGTGGTTGAAGGCGTTTCCTCTTCCACCCCTCCTTCTTCCCCTTCGGGGATGGGTTTGCCCCTCCCCCATGCCCCCCCCCCTTCTGTGGGCCTGGGAGGGGGGGGGGGGGGGGGGGGCGAGGTGTCAGAGCGTCCAAAACGGCCTCGGCGAGGAAGCCAATATCATTGATATTACCACCGTTTCGGCCCCATTTTGGACTCCTGGGGGGGGGGGGGGCAAAACTAATTGATGCCCCGCACTTCTTCGATAGATCTCCCCCAAGATAACCCCAAGAAGCGCCCGGGAGGCCCAGGGGGGTCCCAAGATGGCCCCACAATGGTCCCACGATGGCCCCAAGAGGCCCCCAGGCGGCCCCCAAGAGACCCCCCAAATGCCCCAAGAGACCCCCCAGACCCCACGAGGCCCCAAGAGACCCCCCAGGCACCCAAGATGCTCCAAGAGGCCTCGGCGAGAATGCCAAAACGGCCTGGGCGAGGAAGCCAGACGCATTTGTTGCACTATGGTTTTGGCGCCATTTTGGCCTCCGGGGGGGGGGGGGGGGTCGCTAAGTAATACCCCCTTCTTGTTTGATCGATCTCCTCCAAGATGGCCCCAGGAAGCGCCCAGGAGGGCCCGAGAGGTCCCAAGATGGCCCCAAAGGCCCCCAGGATGCCCCGAGGAGGCCCCCGAGAGACCCCCAAGAAGTCCCAAGGGCATGATCCGGCAGATGGTGGAGGACTGCGCGATGACCGTGATCAAAGTGGCCGGGTGTCAGCTCGGGGTGAAGAACGAAAAGGGCGACCCTCTTCTGAAGGAGTGGCTGATCGCCGCGACGACCCCGAAGATGGCGGCGAGGATGGCCATGGAGTGCCCAGGAAGTCATCGGCGCGGCGAGCTTGCAGGAGGCGGACTCACCGCATCCACAAGCTACTACGCAGACGAAACTGCGAAGGGAGCGGCGCGATCCACGATCGAGGAGAGCGCGCCAGACAACAGCGAGTTCACGAGGAACATGACCGAGGCCGAGGCGCAGGAGGAGCAGGCCCTGACCGCCGGCAAAGAGAAGACATCCATGGACGCGGACCCAAGCTCCACGGAGTGCCAGCAGATCTTGCGGTGGCTCACCACGGTGCATAGGGGGTCGGGCCAGTTCGAGGGCCTCCATGCCGAACGCGCTCAGGAGGAAGGGGGTGAGCCCCTAGGTGCTACGCGTGGCGGAGGATTTCCAGTGCGACGCCTGCGCTGAGGCGAGCCACCACCGCCCGGCGCACCCGTCAGTCAGCCTCGGGCCCATGCCCCCGAAGTGGAAGCGCATCCAGGCCGGCCAGTTCGAGTGGGGGCACCCTCAGAAGATGACCGAGTCGAAGTTCTCACTTAGCACAGACAAGAACTGCAAAGTGAGAGGAGCAAGCTGCTCTACCACATGGTGGGCGAGGACAGACGCAGGAATCCAGTGCGGGCCGACCTGCAGAGCTTCTACGAGGAGCGGTGGTTGCCATACTTCGGGAGGCCTCAGTGAGTCAAGGCGGACCCTGAGGGCTCGTGGATGTCAATGCAAGCTGCTGAGTACTTCGACTCCGGCAACGTCGTATACGAGACGATCCCAAGGCAGGCCCGCCGGCGCGTCGCCCTCGCGGAGGAGGCCACCCAGGCGACGAAAGGGGCGGTGGACAGACTCGTGGCGGATAACCCGGAGATGGCCGCCGAGGAGGCTCTGGCTCGGGCTATTGCAGCTGGAAGCTCTTGGGAGGACGTTCGCGGCCACTCCCCGCTTCAGCGCGCGCTTGGTAGGGCACCAGACCTCGACGGCCACGTCTTCGAGAGCGACTTCGGCGAGCCCCCCTGCGTCGGGGCCAGCGGGCTGACAAGGGGCGCGGCGAGAACTACGCGAAGATGTATGCTGCAGAGCAGGAGTGCCTGAGGCAGGTCCACCTGCGACGGATCAGCCAGGCGGGGAACGCGAAGAACCAGGCGCTGAAGGCCGCGGCCCGTGGCGCGTGAGCGCGCTACTTCCGCGATGCGAAGGGCGGGGCCAACAGCTGGTTCAAGGGCCTCGCGCGGGTACTCGCCGCGGAGACCAATCGCCAGGTGGGCGGCGGCCTCGGGGAGAACCAGACCTTGCATCCAGGCCGGGCTGGGCCCGTGGTCTGGCTGGCCCGGGCAGGCCGCATCATCGAGGTGGACCCGTGCCAGATCCGAGCAGCGTCGGCGCCGGCGCGCGAGATTGCCTGCGCGGAGCCCACAGGCGGCAAGGGCGCCCCGTGGACGGTGCGCACCTTCATGAATCAGGCGATGAAACAAGAGCGCCTGGGCTTCTCAGGCCACGACCCCACCGACCATGACGAGGAGTTGGCTTCCTGGGAAGGAGTGCCGGAGCCAGCGCCACCTCTGAAGAGAACGCGCCACGGAGAGCCGCCGAGTGAGTCGCCGAGGGGCTCGCGCCCACAGACAGCGCGGAAGGCGATCCGAAAGACAGGGAAGCACCCAGGCGGCACCTCAGATGGGGCGAAGGCAGCGAGGGCTGCAGCAGCGGAGGAGACCATGACGGAGAGAACTGCGCCCATGGCCAAGGCCTCGCCAGATGCCCGGGCTTTCTGGGCAAGGCAGGGTGCGTCGCCGGAGGTGTCGGTGGAGATGCCGCTCGCAGGTGAGGCCCCGAAGCAGGCCGCGAGGCGCGCGGGCGCCCGCGCGGCGAGCCGGCTGCGGAAGGGCAAGCGAGAGATCTCGTAGAGCCCTCGCCCCGGACGGGGTGAAAAGTTCAGCGTCGCGAAGGTCACCGAGGTGAGCAACTGATTACATCGTCGCCTCTGCACTGGAGTCCCTGCCACCGGGGGCCACCCCGCCGCCGGAAGACGCCGCGCGCGCGCGGTGGGTCCTGGAGTGGATGGTTGACGAGACCACAGGCGAAAGGAAGCCAAAGGCCAGGATCGTGGTTCTAGGCTTCATGGGCCCAGAATACGAACGCCGCCCGACGACGGCGCCCACCGTGGCGCGGACGTCTCGACATATGGCGCTGCAATTGATGTCATGGCTCGGCTTCAAAGGGTTTAAATCGGATGCGACGGGGGCTTTCACGCAGGGCCGGGGAATCCAGCACGACCTCTTCGCGATGCTAGTCAAGGGGCTCGCCGCCGCCCTCGGGGTGGCGGACGGCGCCGCGATGAGGCTGCGGAAGGCCGTGCGCGGGCTCGTGGAGGCCGCCATCGAGTGGTTCGTGACAGTCAGCGAAGCTCATGAGGAGTTCGGCTGGGCCCAGATGAAGATGGGCCCGCGCGTCTGGGCGTTGCGCGGCGATGCCCGCGGCCAGGACACTAGCTTCGCCGGGGAGGCATTGCGGGACTTCCTGGGCCCCGAGAAGCTGGAGGCGCTGATCGCGGCGAAGGGCGACCTCGACATCATAGCCATTGCAGGCTCGCACGTGGGCGACTTCCTGATCGGGGGGGGTCTGACCCGCGGTGGATAGAAGCACGGAAGAAGATCGAATAACGCTTCAAATGGAAAACCTCGGAGACGGACGAGTTCATGCAGATTGGCGCCCAGATCGCGCAGCTGGCTGACAAGAGCTTCCGCAAGGATCCGAGCGAATGCATCAATGCCGTCGAAAAGGCCACCCGAACGCAAGAAGAACAAGGACGCGCTGACCGCCGACAAGGAGAAGGGGCAGCCCAGGGCGATCCTCAATGCAGTTGGGTGGCGTTCCGAGCAGCCAGGGCCCATGCGCTCAGCCGGCGCCAGCCTGCTGCTCAGCGCGATTCCATAATCCACGGTGCAAACCATCAATGAGACGAACCGCCTGGTCGACCGCGCGCGAGAATGTGCTGACCTCCCAAACGTCATCGATTACCATTGCCAGGCACAAGTGCTCGCGCCCACCGAGTGGTCAGACTCCTCGGAGTCGAACCGGCCAGACGGGAAGTCCACCAAGCGCCTGGTCTGCGGGATGGCCCCGCTGAAGATCCTCCAGGGCGACGAGACGGACGTGAGCATGATAGCATGGAGGTCGGGTGAGATCGATCGTGGATGCCGCAGTTCAGTCGCGTGCGAGACGAGGTCAGCAGTGGACGGACAAGATGAGCCGTTCGGAGTCAAGCGGCAGTAGCTAGAGATCCTGGGCAACAACATCGACTGGCGGAACCCGGAGAAGACCCTTTTCCAGGCTGCCCGCCGCCGCGGTTGTGAGCGCCAAGGGCCTCTACGACAAGCTCCAGACGACCGCGTGCACCCTCTGGGGCAAGGAGAAGCGGACCGACGTGGCGGCGATGTCCTTGAAGGAAGGGACGACAGCCGCCAACAACTGAGTACTCCGGGCGCATGGCGACGCCCACTTGGCGAAGTCACTGACGAAGGGCCACGAGCCAGGCCAGCTGAGGATGCGCTACGGCAGTGTCCACAGGTGGAAGCTCGTCTACGACGCCAGATTCCAGAGTGTCAAGAAACGGGAGGCGGTCGGCATACTCCCCTTTGAGCATGTCAACGCAGGAGTGCCACGCGAGACGAGTTCAGATGCATCGGGGGTGCTCTTCACAGACTCATCAGGAGCCGCTCACCACGAGGGGGACTTCCCCGACTACGAGGCCACGTCATGTGGCAACTGTTCATATATCAGGACTGGAATACGCTGAGCTTGGAGGGCCCTTATCCGTGCAGATTTTCCAGCTGACAAGCCTGAGCATTTCATGTGAGGTGAGCGTGCATGTGTTGTGGATGCCCGTTGCCGTTTCTCTCTCGAGCGAGCGCCCCCTCGCTTGTGCTGAGGAGCGCACGTTTTTGACTTGAGGCTCCTGCAGAGGAACCCGATCTGACGCAGATCGTGAAGTGGAGGGATGAAATTTACCACTGCGCTATACACACCTAGACTTGCACTCCGGGCCCCCTCTTGGAACCGTCCTGGGGCCTTCATGGGCTGTCTTGGGGGCCTCTTGAACCTTCTGCGGGTGTTCTTGGGCCGTCTTCGAGCCCTCTTTGGCCGTCTTTGGGCGGTCTTGGAGGCCTCGCAGGCCGTCTTGGATGCTCTGAAAACTCCAGAGACGAATGTTCAAAGCATATACGTTTGTCGTAGAAAGGATGGGGCCGTGGTTCCCTCTTGACGCCCTCTTGGGGGTCCCCTTGAGGGCCTCCTGGGGCGTCTTAGGGCCTCCTGGGCCGCCTTGAGGCCATCTTGGGCGTCTTGGAGTGATATTTCGGCAACCTCGAACCGCCTGGGTGCAACATGAAAGCCTACCGCACGTACCGGGGAGGGCCAAAAACCGCCCAGGGAAGGGGCCACAGGCTGGTTGCTGAAATGAAGGGTCCCTGGGGCCCCTGGGCCCCCCCCTTACCCATATATATATATATATATACATATATATATATACATATACATACACATAAATGTGTGTGCGTGTGTGTGTGTGTGCGTGTGTATGCGTGTGTATGCGTGTGCGATTGCCTGTACATGTGCACACGTATGTTCATATATGCGGCTAAATATACAATTATGTCCATCTACGTGGGTCATGGTATCGCACGGTAGATCGTGAGACCGACCGGCAGTGCAACTGGCATGTGCATGATCTATCGGTTGGCACACACACACACGCATAGGGCAGCACGCGGAAGGATGGAGACACCGGGGGAGTCAACCATCTATATATTCCTCTTCCTAGATTTTTATAAGCCCGGGCGGGGGGAAAACCCATGCCCCCCCCCCACTCCCAAAACCTGACTCCCGAGATCTGGGGCTTGGGGACCCTCCAGACGGGCCTCGAAGCGGCCCCCGGGCCTCACATGGCGCTTTGCCAAGCCTTCCCAGAACACCTAGGGCGATCAGGGGGGTCATCGGGGACGTCCCAGAGACCCCCAAGAGCGCTCCAAGAGTGACCGGCGTGACCTCAAGATGGCCCAAGAGGCCTCCAGGACGGCCCCAAAGAGGCCTCCAAGAGCACTCCCAAGAAGACCCCCCGAGGCAAAAATCATTGATTTTCTATTGGTTTTTGGTAAATTTTAGGGTTCTACTCTTTTCGGCTTCTCGACGTTCCCAGACGGCGGTTTTCTGGGCGTCCGAAGCCGCCTGGGAGGCTCCACGATCGCCCCACAACCATCCGAAAAGGCTTCCAGGCAGTCCAAGAGAGCCCCAAAACTGCACAACACGGGTCCAAGATGGCCCTCAGAGAGCCCCATGGCGGCCCAAGATGGCCCAAAGACACCCTCCGAAGAATTCCAAATCGTGATTCGGTCGTTCAGGGAGACCGCGGTTGGAGGCAGGGTGGCCCGAGGAAGCCCCCGGAGGCCCCCAGAATACGCCCAGGAGGTCTCCAGAAGGCCTTGAGAAAGCCTGAAACAACTTTTGTGAGGCCCCTAGAGGCTCTCCAAGGAGGAGCCTCCGCAAAAAACAGCTGAGGAGGATGGGGAGGATGCGCAGGGCATGGCGAAAATAAGGAAAAAGAAGCATGGAGGAAGGATCACGAATAACGTTATGATAGCGGCGATGCCAGAAAAGGCAACCAGGAATTATCGCTAAGTTGTCGGCTTGACCTTCCTGCTATTCCGCCAGCATGCCAAACTTCAAGGACCAAGGTGCACGGCGCGAAGCGCCACTGCAGTCTTGTACGTACACATATATATATATATATATATATATATATAATATATCAAGAGAGAGAGAGAGATAGAGAGAGAGAGAGAGAGAGAGAGAGATACGAGATTGCAGTAGCGCTTCGCGCCATGCACCTTGGTCCTTGAAGATTGGCATGCAGGCGGAATAGCAGGAAGGTCAAGCCGACAACTTAGCGATAACTCCTGGTTGCCTTTTCTGGCATCGCCGCTATCATAACGTTATTCGTTATCCTTCCTCCATGCTTCTTTTTCCTTATTTTCGCCATACCCTGCGCATCCTCCCCATCCTCCTCAGCTGTTTTTTGCGGGGGGCTCCTCCTTGGAAAGCCTCTAGGGGCCTCGCAAGAGTTGTTTCAGGCTTTCTTGAGGCCTTCTGGAGGCCTCCTGGGCGTATTCTGGGGGCCTCCGGGGGCTTCCTCGAGCCACCCTGCCTCCAACCGCGGTCTCCCTGAACGACCGAATCACGATTTGGAATTCTTCGGAGGGTGTCTTTGGGCCATCTTGGGCCGCAATGGGGCTCTCTGAGGGCCATCTTGGACCCGTGTTGTGCAGTTTTGGGGCTCTCTTGGGCTGCCTGGAAGCCCTTTCGGATGGTTGTGGGGCGATTTTGGAGCCTCCCAGGCGGCTTCGGACGCCCAGAAGACCGCCGTCTGGGAGCGTCGGGAAGCAGAAAAGAGGAGAACCCCAAAATTCACCAACAACCAATAGAAAATCAATGATTTTTGCCTCGGGGGGTCTTCTTGGGAGTGGTCTTGGAGGCCTCTTTGGGGCCGTCCTGGAGGCCTCTTGGGCCATTTTGAGGTGACGTCGGTCACTCTTGGAGCGCTCTTGTGCTGTCTTGGGGGTCTCTGGGACGTCTCCGATGACCCCCCTGATCGCCCTAGGTGTGCTGGGAAGGCTTGGCAAAACGCCCTGCGAGGCCCGGTGGCCGCTTCGAGGCCCGTCCTGCGGGTCCCAAAGCCCCAGATCCCGGGAATCAGTTTTTTTTCGGGGGGGACGGGTTTTCCCCCCGCCTGGGCAAGAGGAACATGCATACATGTATATATATATATATATATATATATATACACACACATACATATCAAGTTAGGTATATATGAAGCTGGAATGAACGATCGTGACACGTTCACACATAA